GCTGGATGGCCGGGCCTGCCCGGAGCGCTGCAGCTGCTGCCGCCGCCACCTCTGCCACCGCTGCCACCGCACGGTGAGTCGCTGGACCCTCAGGCCCGCGTCCGGGGTGGGATGGACCGTGTCGATTCCCAAACCGGCTGCGACTCGTCCAGAGTCTAGGAGTGGAACTTGCCTGCTTTTGACTCTTCCTTACTGCTGTCGTCCCACACTCTGCCCCTCATCTCTCTCGGCTGCCCCGCTTCTCTCCTTCCACCAGATACTCTCTGGCTCACTTTCTTGACTCTCCTTTCTCTTGCCTTCTCCGTTCTCTCCATACTCCATACTTCCAAGTCTGTGATCCCCTCGCCTCTGCATGACCCGCCAAGGACTTGACTTGGCTAGGGCCTGCCTTGGTTTGGTACCAGTGAAGCCTCGCTTTTTTTTTTTTTTTTTTTTTTTTTGGCGGTGGTAGCTGTAGGGGGTCTCACTAATTAAGGCCTTAAGATCCCAGATATAGGTTTCTACTCACCAACCAGAGGGAGGAAACTGAGGCAGTTCAAGGTCACAGTCAGTAAAGACAGGGCAGACCACATTTAAACTTTCCAGATTGAGCTTCTTGCTTGGTTGACTCACATCCCCATCCGGTGATCTGTCTGCAGAACACAATCCTCCAGGCCTCCTCTGGCACATGGCTTAAGTTCTCCATGCCATCAGCTACCTGCATTATCAAGCTCATCTCATACCCGTACCTCTGTGAGGGAGGCATTACCCAGATCATTCCCTGATGGACCAGACTGGGAAGGGGCAACAGGAATCACCCCTTAGTCAGACAGCTTAAAATCTACATCACCAAATTAGTTAGCCACAAATCGTCATAGCCTGTGCTCCTGCATCTGTGAGGCATCTCTTCTTTTCTGCTCCACTTGTCTCTTGGTACCCAAGAGATCGTTTAGGGGGAAGAGGTTTGGACCACTGCTTAGTTTCTCCACCTGTGCTCCTCGTGCCAGCCCATCAAGCTCATTGCTGGCCTTGACCCTGGAGTGTCTTCACAGGCACATCCTGGCAGCCAAGCCTCTCCTGGCAGCTAGAGACACCCAGCAGGGATGGGCTCTCCGGTGGCTGACAGTGTCTCACCCAGTCATTAGGGAAAGTTTAGCCTCAGGCAAACACATTGACACACAGGCTGGAGCCAGCTCAGAAGGAAAAAATGTGCGGTTCTTGGGAGAAGTGTAGAGGAGCAGATCCCCTTTGCTGTGCTCACCCACCCTTGGGAGCCAGCAGGAGGGTGATTTGAGACAGGGGAGGAGATGCTGTGTTTCCTAAGTGGGTATGCGGTCCAAGGAGGCAGCTCACATAAGCAGTCTTTGTGTTTTCTAGCAGCTGGCATGCCTGGATGTCCCTGCCCTGGCTATGGTATGGCAGGCCAAAAGGTCCTTTTCCTCACTGTCCTTGCCCTGGATCTCCTGAGAAGGGTTGGAGGTTCTCAACCAGCCCTCCGGAGCCTGGGGGCTGCAGCTGCCTGTCGCCTGGATAATAAAGAAAGCGAGTCCTGGGGTACTTTGCTGAGTGGGGAGCGACTGGACACCTGGATCTGCTCCCTCTTGGGCTCTCTCATGGTTGGACTCAGTGGGGTTTTCCCCTTGCTGGTCATTCCCCTGGAGATGGGGACCATGTTACACTCAGAAGGTGAGTGGCCTTTCAGTGGCCGAGAATCCGCTCAAAGGGAAGGAAACATACTGCTTGCTCTTGGAAAAATGCTGAGTCTCATGTACCAGGTACACTGTGTCTGGGATGGAGAGCAGTGTCACCTTGGTCCTGTGGGAAGATGGTATACATATTCAATTGTTCATTCATTTATGCATCTGTTTCTTACTTCATTCAGCAAACATTCCCCAGACTTGGTATGAACAATGGCTGGCAATATGGCTGTCACATTACCTAGGCTCAAATCCTGGCTCTGCCACCCACCAACTAAGTAGAACATGGCAAATCACTTAATCTCACTCTGCCTTAGTCTGCCAGACTTTAAAATAAGGCTAATAGATCTGAGCATGTCGTTCAGTAGTAGAATGAGTGCCTCACATGTTCAAGGCCTGGGCTTGTGAGTTTTAGATGAGCACTTGGAGAGGACTGCCTGGTGCAGGGAGGGCAGGCGTTTACAGGCTCATGCTGAACCTGAGAGGTGAGCAAGTGCTGCCTGCCCTCCCGTTTTGGTTAGTGGTCTAAAGGCTAGGGATGTAGCACAGTTGCTATTGTACTTGTCTGGTGCACAGGAAGTCAGTCGCCAGCACTGAATAAAGCTGGATATGGTAGCTCTTACTGAAAATCCCAGAACTTGAGTGAAGGCAGAAGAATCAAGGTTATCTTTATTTAGCTACATAACCAAGCAGAAGTCAACCTGTGCTATGTGAAACCCTTTCTCAAAGTATAAAAAGAATGTAGGGGCTGGAGAGATGGCTCAGCTATTAAGAGCACAGAGGATTCAGATTCAATTCCTAGCATTCATGTCAGGCAGCTCACAACTGTCTGTAACTATAGTTCCAGCATGATCCTCTAGGCTTGGCAGGCACCTGCATTCATAAACATGCATATAATTTAAAAAAGAGTAAATCATTTAAAAAGTAAAAGAAGGGCCCATGGAATGGCTCAGTGGACAAAAGTGCTTGCCCTACAAGCCTGTCAAACCCATGTAAAGGAGGATAGAGAGAAGACACTCTACAAAGTTGTCCTCTGTGCACCACACATCACACACACACAATAGTAATAAAATAAATGGATAAATAGAATGACTACCCTTAGCCTTTCACCATCTGCCACGCTCCTGGATGATGGTTGCTACCAGTTGTGAACCGTCTTCCTGGAACCTGCCATGCCATGCAATGTGTCCTTCAGACAACCCAGGGATGGGGTAGCTCTGGTAAAATGTGTGAGGCGTGGCAGGGTCCGTGCAGGATGCACTTGGAGTATTGACTACATTCTACAAGTGGGAAGCATTTGCTTTCTGGCTAACTTGGAAACAGCAGTGTCCCCTGGGGGTCACCCCACCACCAGCGGCATCTGCCCTCTAGGCCGAGGAGCACTTCCAAATCTGGACATGTAAGTCGTAAAAGTCCCTAAGTTTCTGTCAGTTTTCTACAGGCGGCACTAACTGAGGCAAGATATTCCCATTGAATGAACATTTGCTTTATGCTTTGTTGTTTAATTCTAATGCGATTTGTACATGGGGAAACTGAGTCTCTTCCAGTATCTTCCAGGTACCAGCAGATGGATTGGAGAGCTGGAACTTGTCAGGGGCCAAGCCCATTTCTTAACCAATATGCAGTAGTCAGTGAGTCCACAGTGGTTCCTCAGAGTTTTATGTTCCTACTGAGCACTCTGTAGGTTGGGGAAGAGCTACCCAGAAAAGCAGTAGTCTTTGGAAATCCAGCCTTTGGAAGCTTGCAGCCTAGAAATGGATGCACTTGGGAGCACAAGCTCAGCCTAGGACCTCACGTCTCTGCTTTGCAGCTGGAGCCTGGCGTCTGAAGCAGCTGCTCAGCTTTGCCTTAGGTGGACTCTTGGGCAATGTGTTTCTGCACCTGCTGCCAGAGGCATGGGCTTACACCTGTAGCATCAGTCCCGGTGAGTGAGACCACAGGGCAGGATAGGAGGGCAGAACCGATACCCATGCCCTGGCTGGCCTAGGCCCTGCTGGCTCTACAGAGAGGGCCATGGGAGGGATATGGGAAGAGAGATTCAGAAAACCTTGTCTAAGAGGGAAGGTCGAATTCCAATGCCCTGGCTTCTTTTGGGAGCTGCTTGTTCAGTAGGTGCCCCTCTCAAACCTCCTCCCCAAACTAGCCCTGATCTAGGCCCTATTCCAAATGACTCCCTTCTAGCCACTGGCTTGGCATGGCCTGTTAGTGCTCCCCCTGCAGGTGGTGAAGGACAGAGTCTGCAGCAGCAGCAACAGCTGGGGCTATGGGTCATTGCTGGCTTCCTGACCTTTCTGGCATTGGAGAAGATGTTCCTGAATAGCACGGAGAAGGAGGGCCCCAGCCAGGTAAGCCACAAGATCCAGAGCCCGGATATCTCGGTTTTGTTTTTTGTTTTCTGCTTCTAAAGTAAGTAAAAAAAAAAAAAAAGTAAAATAAATTCCCAGGGCCCGGAGAAGCCCAGGGTCTGAGTCTCTCCTGGCTCTTCCCTGAGAGCTGTGGAAGGGTGGGCCAACTTTAGGAAACTCCCAAGAATGGCAGTGTCATCCTCTGAAGTAGTTTGATCTCATAGATGGATAATGGCAGACTGTGGGGTCTAATGAGTCTGATGATGGATCAGCAAAGTCTAGCTAGATCAAGGAGATATTCTGTCTCTTGTCCCCTCTCTTTCTGTCTGCCTGTCTGAGTGGGGGGCATCTAATGTCACCTCTCTCTCCTTCTTCTGGCCGTAGGCCCCCAGCAAAGACCCCACTGCTGCCGCGCTCAATGGAGGCCACTGTCTGGCCCAGCCGGCTGCAGAGCCCGGCCTGAGAGCCGTGGTCCGGAACCTCAAAGTGAGTGGCCCAGGAGGGCCCCCCTCCTGCAGCTGCAGAGCTGAATGGCCAGCTCAGCTCTGCCTGCCTGGCTCAGCCCGGCTTTCTCTCCCTTCACCCAGGTCAGTGGCTATCTCAACCTGCTGGCCAACACCATAGACAACTTCACTCATGGGCTGGCTGTGGCCGCCAGCTTCCTTGTGAGCAAAAAGGTAAGGGGTGGGGCAAGCAGAGCTCTGGCATTTCTGGTGGAAATGATACTAATATCTACCAATTTGATCAACCTCCGAAAGAAAGTCTCTGCTTCTTGCTTTTACTAGCAGTGTCTTTGTGAAGCCTCCGTCCTGTCCCTCTGCTGGATGCTGCTATAGCCTCTCCATTATCTCCCTTCAACTTTATTGTCCTCAAAGATGGTTGTTTGCATGTCTGCACTGGCGTTACACGTTTGTGTGCTCTTGGAGGCCAAAAGATCCCCAAACTGGAATTGGATCCTCTGGAGCTGGAGTTATAGCAGTTGTGAGCTACCTAATGTGGGTGCTGGGAACTGAACTCAGGTCCTCTGGAAGAGGAGTAAGCACTCTTGACCTCTAGTCCCCCACCTCTGTTGCATCTTTTGTTCCCTTCCACTGTTCTTGTTGCCAGCCCTCACTTGGATGCCTCTCCCTTCACATCCTACCTACTGTCATCTGTGCTCTGGCCCCATGGTCTGTCTATCCCAACACTAGGTAGTCGCTGTGTCCTCTTCCTCCCAAACTCCTCAGCCCTCAGACCCCAATTGAAATGTACTTCTAAGAGGCACTTGCCACTCCCGTCCCCAGTTAGGCACCCGTCTATACTCTTCCTCACAGCACTCTCCAGATGGAGCCATACAGGTGCTTGTTTTGTGCACCCAGCCTGCAGCTTAGGGGTTGCACTGTTCCAGTGTGCTATGAATGCAGCCCAGCACGTCTGTAGGTGAATACCACGTTGCAGTGTTGAGGCTGTCAGTACTGACTGAGGGCAGCCTCTTTGTCTCCTTCAGTCACTGCTCTTTCCTGTAGCTACAGTGTCCCGCCCAGAGCAGACTCAAAGCAGAACACTTGTTTGTAGAGACTGGGTATGGGGTAAACCTAGTTACCCAGCAAAGGCATCAGACTCAGACTCCCATCTCTGCAGATTGGGCTTCTAACCACCATGGCCATCCTCCTGCATGAGATCCCCCATGAGGTAAGTGCCCAGATCCCAAGGTTTCCATGTTCAGCATGGGTATGGCACTTGGCCAGGGCTTTGGGGTGGGCCTTGCCCACAGGAGTGGTCTGGAGAAGGGGCACCGCTTCATTAGGTACTGGCCCAGGGGCAAGGTAGACAGGAGGCTGGGTGCTCATGTGGTCAGGCTCTGGGTGAACATCTATCTGGGCCTTTCCTCAGGTGGGTGACTTTGCTATCCTGCTCCGAGCTGGCTTTGACCGATGGACTGCAGCCAAGCTACAGTTCTCTACAGCCCTGGGAGGCCTTCTGGGGGCTTGCTTTGCCATCTGCACACAGTCCCCCAAAGGAGTAGGTATGAGAACAGTCATGTTCAGTAGAGGTAACAGCCAGACAGTGCCACTGCCCCACTATTGGGCTCATGTGCCTGGTCTCTCCTGCAGGAGGGCAGGGTACATTCAGGCCCTTGGGCTTACCACCAGCTCATCATTCCCTACAGGGGATACAGTGGTCTGGATCCTGCCCTTTACCTCTGGAGGCTTTCTCTATATTGCCCTGGTCAATGTGTTGCCTGACCTCTTAGAAGAAAATGACCCATGGTGAGTGATCTCCTGGGATGGCCACTGATGGGGCTCAGGAGGAACTGCCTTTGCCCACCCTGTCCGTGCT